TTGCAGGTTTTCTTGCAACTGCTGTTGTCTCTCTTCATGTTTATTTTCTCGTTCTTCTTGTTTCTTTTCTTTTTCCTCTAGCAACTGCTGTAATTTCTCTTCTTGTTTAATTTCTCGTTCTTCTTGTTTCTTTTCTTTTCCCTCTAACAACTGTTGTAATTTCTCTTCTCGTTCTTCTTGTTTCTTTTCTTGTTTTTGTATTGCTGCCATCAAGTCTGCTAAGCTGTAGTTTGATTTTTCGACTCTCGTTTCCATTTTTCTTCTCTTTTTTTTCCTATCCCACTTCTGACACCAATTTGTTACGTCTCTGTAACAAATTAACTTTCCTTAACTTCTTTCCGACGAAACTTTACCGCCACAAATCCTTACTTAATAAAACTGGTTTATTCTTTCGGAATACAACGTTACGATACACTTATTTTCAACAATCGCGCTAAAACAAACGCCTGCTGTAATCTGTCCAAGTATTTCCAGTGGTTGTCCTTTCAAGCTCGTTGCCAGATAGACTACTTTCTGCTCCTCTGTCCATCCATTCATTTCTGCCAGTAACTCAAATTGTGCTCTATATGCTTCCCACAGTGCTTTCCCATCGTATTCCTGTGGCTTCCTTGTTACTGAATCAGTCCTATTACTGACATTCATATTTGGGATATGACTTCTAACAGGACTGAATATGTCTGCATTAGGGTTTAGCTGCGGGGTCTGGAAGGGGCTTGCCATTGTCTGGGGCTGATTAAGTCGATGGTTAATGTATTCTCCTTGTGTAAAAGACAATAGATCATCCTTTAATGTCTCTAATTCGCTTTTAAATTTACTAATGTTTTCCGTTTGTACTTCTTGCCACTGTTGTAGTCTCTCTTCTTGTTTATTTTATTTCTCCTCCAATAGCTGTTGTAATCCCTCTTCTTGTTTATTTAGCTGTTCGAGCTGCCACTGTAGCAGGTTTTCTTGCCACTGCTGTTGTCTCTCTTCTTGTTTCTTTTCTTTTTCCTCCAACAACTGCTGTAATCTCTCTTGTTTATTTTGTTGTTCGAGCTGCCACTGTTGCAGGTTTTCTTGCCACTGTTGTTTTTGTCTCTTTTCTTGCTTCTTTTCTTGTTCTTCTTGTTTCTTTACTTTTTCCTCCAACAACTGCTGTAATCTCTCTTCTTGTTTAAGTTGTCAGCAGACGACAGGCACAACTATAGAGCACTGGTAGCAGCTCTAGAACTTCTGGTACTCCTTTGTGATCCAGCACCCTGATACTCACAAGGGTTTGCTGGGATGCAGAATCTATGACAAAGTTGCACTTTTGGCCATCCAGCTTCCCTGTCACGTAGATACTATGTGTGCTTGTCATTTTACACTTAGCTGTTGGGACTTTTACAACAGGGGTTGGTGGGCATCCCTCAGCACCAACCACTATTGGTTTCCCGAAGCTGACATATTGGTAGTATTGATCTTACACTGGCTCATCATATGTCCTTGCTCTCCACAGTTCCAACAACCTTTCTGGGTAGCAGCCTTTCCTGCCGTGGCATCTTCCCTGTGTTGAACTTGCCAGCATTGAGCTCTCTTGTGCTCAGGATTGTTACAGTGCCAGCAAAGTCCCTCAAACTTCTCTGAAAGCTGCCCTCTTCTGGCCTTGAATCCCGATGACTGTACCAACCTTGGTACCTCTGTGCTGGACTTAACATAGGATTCAATTTCAAAAGCTCTGGCCATTGCATCCTGCATAGTAGAGGGGTGTGCTTGCCTTTCTTCAGTTGTGGACTGTCCAAGGCATCTACAAACTGATCCCTCAGCAATAGCTTGAGGACATCGGGTGGTGCAGTTGGGTAGGCATTGTGTGCCATACTTTCCAAATCCTGTGCCAGCTTTTGCAGGCTTTCTCTTTTAGCATGGACTCTCTTCCTAAACCTAGCCCTGTAGACTTCTGACTGATTTTGGGTTTCATACTTGAGCCACACAGAAGCTCTGTGGTGTGACAGGGCATTATGCAAGGTTGTGGTGACCATTCTGGGTAACTATTGAGCTCATGGGCATGAAGGACAGACACAAAGTATACTTGGCTGACATTGAAGACCAATGCATATTAGGATTGGAGTACTTGCTACAGGGGAAATGCGTAGTTAACTTTGACAAAATGACGATTGGGAACAACAAAGGCCAAATTCCAATAAGTGTTGCTGCATCTGTTGATTTGCATGTCACATCATTTAAGTCAACTACAATACCCCCTATGTCAGAGAAAATAATTTGGGGTGGAATAAAAGAACATCCCCAAGGAAGCCTGGTGCTTGTGGAAGCAGTGGAAACCCATCCAGGCCAGCAGATGTGAAGATTGGAAGGTCATCGAGTAGTGCCCATAACAGTGGCTAATTTATCTAAATGTGAGCAGACACTTAAGGAAGGGGCATTGTTGGGTGTGTGCCAGGAGGTAGAGTCAGTCAATGTTAAAGCAAGAAATACAACTGAAAAGAAAGGACATACACTTCCAGAACATTTAACTGATCTCTACAAGAAGAGCATAGTTCATTTGGCATCATCACGGGCTCTTCAGGTTA